CCCCCCCCCCCCCCCCCCCAGATACCTTCGCCAGCAAAGTGGCCGCCATCCAAGACCAATACGCTGACGCCTCCATCGGCAACGTGACCGGCAGCAATGCGGTCAACGTGTTCCTGGGCATCGGCGTGGCCTGGTCCATCGCCGCCATCTACCACGGCAGCCACGGCAGGAGCTTCATGGTGGATCCGGGCAGCCTGGCCTTCTCCGTCACCCTTTTCACCATCTTCGCGTTCATCTGCGTCGGCGTGCTCATGTACCGGCGGCGGCCCGAGATCGGCGGCGAGCTGGGCGGCCCGCGGACTCCCAAAGTGCTCACCACCCTCCTCTTCGTCAGCCTCTGGCTCCTGTACATTCTCTTCTCATCCCTGGAGGCGTACTGCCACGTCAAGGGCTTCTAAACAGACCCCGCTTCAATCAAATCAAACGAATCAACAGAAAAGCAACAGCGGAAAAAAGTTTTCACAAATTTTTTGATCTTCTCCAAGCTCCCCCACCCCTCCACCCCCCCCTCCCCCCCACCCCTCAATTTCAGTCCCAGCAAAGGGATGAACTATCCGTTTAGGACAATAAAGAGAGCAGCCCGGAAAACACCTTTTCAAAGAGATGCCCCTGAAAACAATTGAAAGAGGGAAGGGAAAAGTATCCTTTAAATACAAAGAGGAACAGCCATAATGTAACACGTGAAGAATGATCTCTCAAAATGTTGCTTGAAAGGTGTCAGTACTGGTTCATGTATAACCACACGTTTAGATAAATGATTAATGTATAGCATGTCTTTTTCATAGCGGTTCCATGGAAACATTAACATATTTACACATTTTTCAAAACATATGAGGGGGTATAGAAAAAAAAGAGTAATTTAATGCCCACGTTTAAAAATAATTTAAAAATGCATGGATATGAAACAAACTGCAGTTGTGCTGAACAGCACAGGCAATGTCCTGATTAGCATCAACCCCCCCCCCCCCCAAAGGATAACATTTGCTGCTAATAGCCCTTAAACCAGCAGTTGGAGATTCACTATAAAGGTCATTTGTGTCTGTGGGACCCTCTACACCTTGCTGGTTATAGACTTGAAGCTTTATTTATTTATTTATTAAGTAACGAAAAACATTAATTTTAATTATGTGGTTACTTCAGTGATCTTTGAGTGAAATACCGTGAAATATCTGCAGCCGTTACTCATGACAGGATTGAGTGTCTAAAGACCCAGTAAACCTGAATCGGTTAAACAAACCCCCCCCCCGTCACACACAGACACTCACACACATTTGCTGAACAATTGAGGATGTCAAGTGGAAAATTATTGACCGGAGGGAAAAAATACTTGTCTAAAGCATTATTTAGGAACAGCATCGTAGAAAATTCTCCTCCGATGTAGCCACAGGATAATTTGGTCAAAGTCATTTTGTGTCTCTTTGTCAAACACCTATAGCACTGATTGCTGATCTTGTCCAAATTGATGTGACCTCTGTTTTAGCCAAACGCGGTGCGACTGCAGCTTCCGCCCATCTCAGCACATCTACCTGGTGACTGTCCACTGCCATCTTGCCCCATCGCACTGGAAAGCCATGCAGACCGAATGGCACGGTGCAATACCTACACAAGCCATGAGGGGCACTGCTGTTACTAAACTTACCATGGCGACTGTTGTTAACTGTTGTTAATCGCACTCCTCTCCAGTTATATATGAAATGGCATTATGGTTTTTTATGTAAAGCGATAAGATTAATATTAAAATGAAAAAAAAAAAGTTTTTACTGATTCCCGTTATTCTCTCAAGAAAGCTGACTGTCTAGAAGATTTATGTCATGGAGTTCATCTGAGTACTGATATATGTTGTACAAAAAGATTGCCATGTGGTCTTTTTAAACTGCCAGTGATACATAAAAAGTTCTTGTCTCAAAGTAAAGCATAGTTCAATATTACAGCTATAGGACTAGCAATGGATGGGGCATCCACACAGTGCAGATGGTAACTGTATATTTATACATTAGTTAAGCTCTTTTTTTAGATGTTAAGGCATAAAAACCCAGATTTCTTACTAATTTTGTTTTATAATCAATACTTTCTTTGACAGTGGTGTGAAATCTATAGCTTACAATGGCTGTATGTAAGTGGTCTGACTTTGGATTCCGAACCGTTGCAAGATTTTATTTTGTTTTTTAATTTTTAATTTTTTTTTTGTCTTTGCAACTGGAGTTTTCAGGCTCTTACAGGGTATATATATATATTTATATATATATATATAGCAGCGTGAAATTGTCTCTGATCCTTTCACCTGACTGCAACCTTATCCATGGGTTGCCAAAAGGAAACATTCGTATAGAAAATGGCCAATAGAGAATGGGGGTCTCTCTGAGGGGAACGGCAGTTTCTCTGAGCGTCGTGTCTCACGGCATCTGAGAGAGATTCCCGGCAGCGCTTTCGAAAGCCTCAAAGCTGTTTCACCCGTGTAGAGATTTTTTAAAGCATAGTTTGTAAGGAACCGCAAACGTCCCTGAGCAGGGGGGTGCCCTGTACCTCTTACTCATCTCACTTTTCAAGAATTTGCAGCTCTTGTAACAGTTTTTAGGGTGATTTTGGACTCTGGGGGGTTTGTAGTAGTCTAGTACGGTGTTTGCTAATCCAGTCCAGTAAGGAGTTGGGAGGGAGCAAAATCGTGGACCGACTGTGGGTCCCCAAGGACCGGATTGGGAAACACTGGTCTGGTTTGAATACAAAGGAAAAAAAACGACTGAGCATTGAAATCAGATTGTATCACACTAATCCCTTTTAATACAAGTTTGTGGCAGTTCATTTATATACGAGCTGATTTTGTTTTTTTGTTGCAGTATAATGGAAAAGATTGCACTTGTAACGGCTGGCAGAAATCGGAAAATGGTGGCATAATGAGTTTGCTGAGAACTGTGCCACCGGGGGGGTGATGTTTCGATGAAAGACAAATGGGAATTTAAAAATGAAGACGATGGGGGAGGGAGAAGAACTTGACCTTGACTTGATCTCTGCGGACACAAAAAAAACACATTCTGCAGCCGTATGTTGTGTCCTGTCGCATCAGAGCAATCGGAGAACTTCTGCTCAGCCTCAAATTTTCGGTGGTGTGTCTGCGTGCCACTTACGCGGCGTCCGTCCATCCGTCCCACCCCTGTTTCTCGCCATGTCCATATTTGGGAATGTTAATGTGGTACTTGTAAACACTGTGCATGGATGAAAACATGTCTGTATATAGTACACAGTATCCCAGTCCTTAACTGTCAGGGGAGTTTGAATGTTGTATAGATTCAGATGTAGGTGTTTTTTATTTTTTATTTCTGTTCATTTTTGTTTCCGCAAACCGCTGTTTATTTGACTTGATGGAGGGCGTTTTTTTTTGTTTTTGTTTTTTTTTTGCACATTAGAATTTTTTAAAAGGCAGTATCTGCGGTTCTTGCACGTGAGGGTAAATAAATCTAAAGAATGTATGACCAAGAAGGCAGAGGAATTTGTAGAAATGGTACCAGAAGAGTGATTGTATAATTATTTTACAGCTGAATAGGACTGTAAATCAAAGGATATTTTGTCACTGAAGAGTTCATATGTATATACAGTACTGTACAGCATTTGCCAGTCTGACACTATACACAGCATTACAAATAGAGATTTCAAAGTATTTATTTTGAATCCCTTGGTATAGAATGACAAATATTGCCTTTTAAAGGAGGGGTTTTGCAAGGTTGGTTATCTTGTGTTTCTTTTGCGTTGAGCAGTGTGTATTTCTAATATTTACATTTTTTGTGGGTGGATTTTTTTTTTTGTATATGGCTGAATTTGTTGGAAATATTAAGTATCCTGCCAGAGCAGAACGAACTGCAGAGGAAGTCCTGCAAGTGAGTGGTTGTTGACGGTGGCCTACAGCCACGCCCCCTTTCCTCCCAACCTGTACAAACCTAGAGGACACCCACTGTCACTTGTGGTCTTCACAGTGTGCTTAGAGTTATTCACTGGGGATGCTGGCGTTTCAATTTACCTATCAGTGTGGTGTTGCTAGATGTAATAGATAGGATTCTTGAGGGGGGGAAATGGCTATTTTGTTGTGGTCTTGCAAATGCAAAGCCTCTTCAAACAAAAATGGTGTCAGACTTCAATGGCACAGTGCCGTCAGTCCTGTAATGCACGGACACCCCTCAGATTTTGTCAGACGTGACCCACACCTCCTTTTTAACAATGAATTGAGGCGTTCGGCTTCCCCCGTGACAGCTCTGCGTGCTGTGTTTTGGCCCCAAACAGGAGCGACCTTGTCCGCAAGGACGGCTGGGGCATTTCGGCCTTGTTGGTCACCGTTCTGGTCTCTTATTTTTTTTTATGAGCGGCAGTTTTTCGTTGCTGTGCTTTTCTTTGACAGGGTTTGGCTTGGGATCTCTTTCTGGCGGTTTTCCCTTTTTTTATGTTTTCAGGTATCTGAATATCATTTATTTTGTTCTGTTGTCTATTTCATTTTTTGTGTTGCACACAAAAAGGACGGAAGTACACTAACTGTGATTGCTATACATGGTACACTTCTTGACACAGAAAAATAAAGTTTGGGATATCCTGTTTCAACAATTGCTGAGTACGATGGTATTTATGTGAGCGTGACACTCAGTTGCCTTTGGCTTTGATGTCAATCGATGGTCTGTATCCTAAAATCATCATGTCAAATTCTGTTGGACCAAATGCTGTGGTGGGTGGGGTTTTCCTCTGGAGTTCATTACTGATTGGTTGAACCCAGTGGAAGCCAACACCAGAACCAATGGGATGTTGGCTAATTTAGTATACACAAGACTGCACCAGCAGTTCACACGTTCTGGATTTGCAACTGACACAAATTACAATTCATGAGCTGCGACAACAATTTGGGTCTGTGAGCTGTTCAGTGTCCCTCCAAAACTGCTGGGAAATATTCTCTTCTGGAGTGTTTTTCACTTCACCATCACTGAACATTCGTCTGCATATTAGTTCAAATGATCTTATTTTTTCAGTTAGCTTGATATATATTAAATGTTGAATACACTTGGGGAGAATTAAATAATTTAAGGTTTCAGTGATTACAATTTTTATATGATAGTGTACCTTTAATTTCACTGACCTAATGCCTCTGTTGCTGATTCTCTCGAGTGAATGATAGGATGACTACAGGCTCTAATGCCAGTTATCTGACCTTGAAAATATTCCTTTCTGCATGCTGATATTTAAGCAACTCCTAAAAACACCTTAATTCATTTCACTGAACTTAACTAATGACTTCTTCCTTCATAATTCCTCGTGCCCCTTATTTTAACGAGTAGAAGGTTTTCGCGAGTGAAGGTGGAGCAGTTCACTGGGCCATAAAATTCCACGCAGGGCTGTTCAAGAGGACGACCGGCAGTTCTCGCAGTACAAAGCCACCATTCTGTGTGCGACTGTGAAACATGCACTCTTAAGTGGCTGGGAAGAATTAATAAATGAATATATATGTGACAATTTGAATCTTTTGGATATAAGGTTCCA